ATGGAATTTGTACTTCCTCGGACGAAGACTCAAAATCTTCACAAACTTTATTCTTATTAGATAGATTGCGGATGGCTACAGATGATTTACCAGACTTCTTCCTTTCTCTCTCGAGAGGTAATCCTTCGGCCTCTGCTTTCTCTAGTGTAGTAGTTAAAAGATTACTTCTACCTCTCTTCCTTCCTCTTCGAGCTTCTTTGCGTTGTGCAGCATTAGGAAATAGTTGGATTTGCTCAGTTGTAATCAGGATTTTCATTGGCATTATAAGTTCTTGAGTGCCGTTAGAGTCTTCAGAAGTTGATGGTTTTTCAAAAGATGTGGAATAATCTTTTGAGGGATGATGTAAACTGGCTGTATGGTCAATTTTAGGATATTCTTGTTCTGCTGAGGAAGAAGTACCATTAGCTTGTGCAAATGATGACGGCCGGTCAGTTACTGAAGACATTAGAGATTCTGCTTCGGTGAATGGCTCACTGTTGAAAAGGTAGATGCCAGTCTTTCGAAATAATGTTTTTCTGCGTTACAGTCGAAGGGTAAGCTTGCCCCACAAGATCACCTATGCAGTAGATCGATATAATTTTGCCTAGGTGATTCAGTAGTCATTACAAATCAGTAGTCATTACAAATTACAATTATTACAAACTCTATTATATTGACTTCTAAATGGGACAAAAACAGACATATCGGGGGGCTGCAGTTTGTGACTACAATGTGGTGGAAACATTAAAAGTATAACTCTCTTTTCTTTAGCTGTCATTATCAATTCTAAAACCACTCAACTCGTGGTTGCCTAAAATTAACAATATTGGTTGTTCCTTAGTGCATTTTGTGTGATGAATTATGTGTTCTAGACTATATTTAAAAAGATCACTTGACATCCAACCTGTCTTGCTAGTTAGTGCAATGCTGCCTAGAGGTGCACCATTTAAGAAAAACTCCTTATATCTGATTCGGGGAAAGACAAGTACAGGGGGTAAAGCATTTACTATAAAAAGGCTAGTGATTTGCTCCCCCCTTTCAGCCGATGTCACTTGTCCTACTTGCTTTTCACCACGCTTAGCCACAACCTTTAGTGGAGTATTGACTGTACTTATTCCTATTTCGTCACAGTTGAATATACGATCTGGGGTGAGATTATACTTTTTATAGATAGTTTTTAAGTTATTTAGGAACATATCAACATTAATTTTTTTTTGAAGCTTGTTGCCCTTCCCAGACTTGTAGCTTCTGGAGACCTTAGCGAAAGTTCTTTGTGGCGTTCCATGAAGCTTTTGAATCAGTCATATCCTGACATTTGGTTAACTTTCCATGAATTGTCTGCTTTACATTTCAGGGCACTTGCATATTGCCACTCTAGAATTCTGACCTGAACTGATGTTAAACCATGATGCATTCTACTTGCAGCCAGGATGTATTCTACTAGAGCCAATTCTCGCTCTTCGGAGAATACCATATCACATATCAAACTAGAACAAAAAACAACGCATTCCTTGTTCGGAGATTCACCATATTTCTTTAAATGGCGTTGAAGAGCCGATTTTGAAATACAAGTCTTTGCTACCTGCCTTATGCCGGTCCCTTCTTTAATCTGCTGAATGGCCTTCACAATGCCAGACTTTAATGAAGCAGTCCTCTTAGGGTTTTTCTTCTTTCACTTATGAGGCATCTTACACTATAACAAAGCAAAAATATACTATTAAAAAATTTAAAAATATAAAATTAAATATAATACAACAGGAGAGGTCTGGGACAAGAGATGTGTGGAACATTTCAAATTTTCCACCTTTATATGTGAACTTTATATGTGAGACTAGAAATTTGCACTATTTTTCACTAGTAGGATCCAGAAATGTACACCACTGACTCATTTGATCGTAATGGTTGTTCTCCGGGACATTGTTTGGTTCTTACTATCTGTTAATTATTCGAGAGGCAGAGCAATGAACGATGTCGTTCATAAAAATACACGTGCAAGCTGATTTACTTAAAGCAAATCTTGACGAATGTACTTATTATTTAATATTTTTTTATTAAATGTGAAAATAATAAAATAATATTTTATTATTTTCTTGCTCCATATTATATTCTGTATTAGTTCATAAATCTTTCTGTATAGTGCCTCACCACCGTAGTTTATAAGTTCTGCACACATTAAGACTTAATGTGTGCAAAGAAGACTTACGGCCGGTTTCCGAAACGTTATTCAAATCTCCGATCATCTAATCGAGCTGTTAGATTTGATTAACTGTTAACCAGTGACCAGTTTCTGAAACGTTAATTATCTTAAAATTACATGATCGTAGAAATTATGTGACATACGATTTGGTTTCGATACTGTCACAATCGGCTGTCATCCTTCAAAATATTAATAAACAACCAAAAAATTTTAAGCTGTACCTACCGTTAAAAAAACAACATAATTTAAAAAATTAATATTAAAAATGAGTAATCCTCCACGCAAAAATTATACAGAGAGGGAGAAGTGTTTACTGTTGCATATAATTGAAAAGTAAGTACGAAATTGTCTAACTTATAGAATAAATTTCTAATTGTATCTTTGTTTTCAGATACAAGAAAATCATCGAAAACAAATGTACAAATGCTATGACCACCGCAAAAAAAGTGAAACCTGGGAAAAAATAGCGCTGGAATTTAATGTCAGCGCTTTAATTTGAGAAAGTTTTATTATAAAGAAAAAACTATCTGGTAGATCTAAAAAAAATGAAAGTTTTTTTATTTTTATAGTTGCACAAAATAGTCTAGTGAAAGTAGATTATCTACAATTGGAAGACACGGAGCAGACATCCAATGTACCCTCTACTTCCACTGTGCTGCTCAGTACACCCTCGACATCTGCTGTCCTGCCCAAGAAAAAATCTAAAATGTCTAAGGCTTGTTTTAAAAATAAAAAATTAAAAAATGTAGGGAGCGAAACCAATAGACGTATTTATTATAAAAAAAAATTGAGTGTACAAATATAGAAAAAAGAAGCAAACTGGTATTTTTAAATAATGAAATCAGACAAAAAGAAATTTTAGAATTGGAACTTCAAATAAAAAAATTTGAAATGAATAAATAGCAGCTTCAACGTCTACCATATCATCAATGTTGTCATTGTGATCGATAGCTATATTGTGCAATACAGCACAGGCCACAACAATGTTCATGGCTGTATCTAGTTTTACCCTTAGTCCCATAGATAGGCAGGGAAAACGTCTCTTTAATACCCCGAAACATCTCTCTATGGGATTTCTTGTTGATACTTGTGCTTTATTGTAAGCTTCCTCACCATTTGTTCTAGGCTGCAAAAATGGAGTCAAAAGGTAACTTCTACAAGGGTATCCACTATCTCCCAAGAGAAAATCTTTCCCATATATATCACTCTCGAAATCGGCACGTATGTGGCTATCATTGAAAATAGTTGTGTCGTGCACAGAACCAGGCCATCTACAAATGATATCTTGAATCCTTAGCTGTGAATCACATATAGCTTGAGTATTCAAAGAGAAGTATCCTTTTCTATTCCTGAACAGTTCTGCTTGTGGGCCTCCAACTTATTGAATTTTGACGTGGGTACAATCAACAGCACCTATTACGTTTGGAAAATTAGCCAACGCATAAAACCCAGATTTAACACTCAGGCGCTCCTCTGCTGTTGCTGGCATCTTTATAAAAACTGGCCTTAACCTAGCTATCGCTAGAGATATTCTCTTGATGATTCGACATTCTGTTGATTTGTGCACTCTCACACTATCAGCCACAGTCACTTGGAATCCTCCAGTAGCATAAAAGCTGATTGTCAGTAAAATCTGCTCAATGGCACTAATAGATTTGTTTCGTTTGGTTGTTGGTTCCATACCATCTATTAGTCCCACTATTCTGTCACAACTTCCTTGGATACTCTGTAGCGTTGTTTAAATTCACTATCACTGTAGTGTGTCATTGGATTCATCCTGGTTCTGTGATTAACCCAGGGGATGTCATTTTCCTCCTCGCTCGACAATGAAAGGTCAGAAATATCAGAGATGTATATTTAATTTTAAAAATCTAAATTATAATTAAATAACTAATAATTATAATTAAAAACTAAAAAACTCTTTATTTAATAACTATTTAACCTATATAATAACTATACAAACTCTATTTAATAACTAAAAACTCTATTTAATGACTAAAAACAACTCTTTATAAATATTAACAGCCCTTTAATCATCCAATAACTTCAAATTAGGTGACAGTCGATTTTGACAGTCGTTTGACATGCGAAACTAGTTAATCGGCGTTTCAGAAACTCAAAACACATATGATCAACTGTTAACTAACGATTAATCGTTTGTTTTGTTAAATTAGGTGATCGACTGTTGTTGAATGTAGTTTGATTGACGTTTCTGAAACTCAAAATGCGTTTGATCAACGATTAACCATCGATTACATAATTTTTGAGATGATCATCCTTTCGGAAACCGGCTGTTAGTCTTCTCCCGTTGTTTCCCGTTTTTTAGTTTGCATATTTTATATTTCACTTCTGTAGATGTCAATTCTTCTTCTTGTTCCGTGTTCATTATTGTTTCTCTTTCTTCTTCTCTATCTGTTTCTTGATATGCTTCTTCGAAATATTTCTGCCATCTTTCTGCTTCTGTGGCCATATTAGTTGTCCGTTTTCGGTTACCTAGTTTTAAGTATTGGTACAATGGTTTTGAGTTGTGTCTTTTATTTTTTGTTTCTGTCTCGTTCATAATTTTTTCTAGGTTTTCATTATTTTTTTCGATTTAATTTGTAGAAATAGATTTTTTAAGTTATTTCGGTATGAGTACTATTAAAATGAGCTCCTTATAATCTCAATGACCCTATGGCGTGCTAAAATAATTACATATTCTGCTATTACTGTCAATACAGCTTGATGAAATGAATCTCTGTTTTAAACTTGTGAAAATATAAAATCTGATCGTTCTTCTTAATGACATACGTAAAAATCATATTTGTTATTAAGTACTTACTTCAAAGTCGAAATGACATTTTTATATCGATTTTTCTAATATTTTAATTGATCATTATAATTTTACACAATGGCACAGGCCTTTATAACAACAACAAAGAATAGTTTTAGATGGAATGTGCAAGAAAAAGAAAAGCCGTAAGTAGAAAACAATCATTTAATGACTCTTTTATATTGTACCTTTTCATATAAGTACTTTATTCCTTATGACAATTTGGTCTGAATAAATGTAAAATTTTAATTTGATTGTATTTTAGATTTTAGAACATGCAGAACTTTTCATAAAGAATTACTTTTCTCATAAAATTAAAAATGAAAATGTTTCTCATATGGTGCCGACTTAATTCTCATTGGTGCAGGGCACCCTGCCTAGTCACTCTCTTATTTACTATGAATCCATTACGTAAGATGTACCCTTTTAGCGATCGCAGCTGTAAAAAACTGTTATTTTTTTCTTTTGTTAATTATAATGCTTCCAGTCCACCTTATTCATTTCTTGTATGGTGATTATGTATGTAGCAATTTAATTTGCCTACCACATTGGGTATCACTTATAGGGGGTTGAAAGTGGGAAATGAGCAATTACTGGGCTGGGGATAGGGTAAGCAATCAAACTGAATCGTTTGCGAACGGCCACTCTTGGTTTGGTTGGAGAGCTGGGGTCGTAGGTAAGTATCTTTATTTGAGGGACTGGAAATGGATAACTTAAAGGAAGAAATAAAAAAAAATACCTGCAGATATTTCCTGGGCATTAAACACAAGAAGGTTACTAAACTATTTGAATTGGGCGCCGTCTAAAAGAATCCTTTTGCTGGATAGAAAGAAAGGCTTTTCTTTCCTAAAAAAATTAAAAGGTGAAAACCTTTTTAAAGGAAACAATTTTAAACTCATGGTTTAAAGAGAAACATGTCATATTTATCTTACTTCACATCAACAGTTATTACAAATAATATTAACCAAATTTATCAACAAACCTTATAGTAGCGCTATTTGTAGCAATTTAAACAATTATTATAAATCAATATATCATAATTTTGATCGACATTACTTACATTGAGGTTAACCTTTAAACAAAACAGAATTCAAAATTCATGGGTATGTGCCAAATAACAGAATAGGATAATACTGACTGTCACATGTCGAAATGAAATATTAAACATTTTTGAAATATTAATTAAATATTAAAGTTAACTTTATTTAAATGAAGACTAATATGACAATTAGCTAATCCATAAACCTTATAATTTTATTTATTTATAATTTTTTAGTTTGTCATGAAAGCAAATTTTTTTTTATTAATGATAAAATGTTTACCTCTGGCTGGTATTTCCCTTAAGAAAGTTTTTGGGATTGGAATTGAATCAAAAAACAGTGTCCCACACAAACTGCAGATGGTCTCTGTCGACCCATGGAATCCAAAATGGACGAATTTTGGGACGAATTTTTTGGAGGTAGGAGACTGACTTGGGCTTCGGATTATCCTGGATGACAACAAACCGCACTCTTTAAAACCCGGCCGCTTAATTCTTCTTAAAACTATGTGGATCTCTCCAATTGTTGGAAACCCTGCTTTACAAAGGACACAAAGTGCTGTGTCCTGACATAGGATACAGCACAACAAATCGGTGATTAACTCAACAAAGACTGCCTGACTGACTCTCAACTCAAAAAAATTGCCGAATTTTTTTGAGTTGAGAGTTGAGTTGAAGACTACACGCCGAAAGCAATTTCTTCCGAATTTAAATCTCTTTTAACTCTAACTGTTACTACACTTCACTATCTTTTGAAGACAAAAAAAACAAATAACGAAAAAAATAATGACGAATTTGAAGAAAATCCGGACTAAACTATGAACCCGACTCCTATCGTGGTCCATAGTAGAGTGATACTGTCGTCCCCGCATAACTTTTAACTAATCTAAGTGAAAATGTTTATATTTATTTGACGCGCAATATTAGGCGGAATTAAGATCAAAGGAAGACCAATTTGTATATAGACAGAAATGTTTATATTACCAATCCCAGCTACGCAAAAGGACTGATAATATTTTTCGTTGTTGTAACATATACGAGGGGATATCGAAATGTTACATGTACTAATTTAATTCAGTTAGCAGATTTTGGAGAGCTTATTTCAGGAAATTTTTTATGTTGAATTATATCTATTTTTAGTATACGGCAAGAACGAAAATTCGATGAATGTTATGGTAAAAATGTTGAGTGGCTAACAGAACAGGATTTAAGTGAAAAAATGGTACATTTATAATAATATTATAAACTTTATATTATAAAAATAACTACCTACTATAAAATTTACGGTATTTCTGTTTTAGGAAAATTTTGAAAAAATAAAAGCCGCTGTTGCTCAACTTCAACGGGATAGAATGTCTAGAACAACATATAGGACAGATTATTGTAAAGAAGAAAAGAAAGGTGCAGTAACAGATTAGGCATTTATGAATAAATGGAAATATAATTGTCTTTATAAGACGTTTTTTCATTTATCTAAATCCAAAGACACCGAACACAATGAGCTATTTTGTTTTTTCTAACACACATCATCAATCATGCCTGATTTGTGCATTGTTGAACATAGGTCTCTTCCATGATACTATGAACTTCTAAAGATAAACCCACGCGCACGCGATAAGTCTATCTCTTTTGCACGTGTGACGTCACTTGGCGACAAATATCACCAGAAATGTTCGGTTATGCATGGAGTTTTGTCAGATTTACTATTGTTTTATAGTTTATCTAGTACGTTGACAAATAAATGTGTGCACTTTTAGATAAAATATATTTCAGAATATTAGATTAAGATAAACTTTTATCACCAAGTGACGTCATGCGCATCGACGTACAAAATTCGATTGGGAAGTGGTTTTATCTTGGAAGTCATAGTATCATGGGTCTCTTCTAGATATTTCCATCTATTTCTGTTTCCATCTATTTTAATTGGTCACAATTCTTTTAAGGTCGTTAGTCCATCGTGTTGGGAGTTTGGTCTGAAGATCTCGAAGGCCAAACAAAGTTCGTATATCTCCCATCACCCTACCGTTAAAAGTGTATAGGAGAAAAGCTTGAACATTTCTTTTAGAATGGCATGTCGCTTTATATCATTGCCACCTTTATTTTAAATGTATATTGATCTCGCGTTTGGATATTGACATTGGAATTAACATCGCTCTACCTTACTGTACTTTCAGTAGTGCTATAAAAGTATGTCTAACTGGTAAGCAGGTTTTGTATGTTTTCAACAAAATTGATAGTGTGTAAAATAATTTATACACACTATCAATTTTGTTGAAAACATACAAAACCTGCTTACCAGTTAGACCTATTTAGAAGTGTGTACAAGTCTTACAGTCTTTTTCAATTCTATAAAAGTATGTTCCTGTCATAAATCAGTTAACCTTCCAATTGTCCTTGGATACAAACACATCATTTAATCTCTCATCCGACATTTCCAGATATGTAAAATTTATTTATTATATAAAAATACAATTTTGAATTATACAGTTTTATCGGGATGTCTATAATTAAAGATGTTTGTTTTTTTTTCGTACATTTTTGATAATAATTATCCCTAACAATAAAAACAATTTATACCAGATTCAGTAACCCCTTAAACCAGAATTTCTCCTTTTTTTTTCTAGATCGATAATTTTCCTCATTCCCAACTAAACATATTTATTTATTTATTTTATATCATGTTACATTTTAGCTGCTAGAATTGTGGGTCGTGAAGAAGCAGTGGACAGTTTTGAAAATCAATTACTAGAAAGTTATAAAAAAATATATCAACAGAAGACCGGAAAAGTTTTACCAACCATAACGACACAAAGAAGTAAGTAAACATTTTTATATTTAGTAAATTATTTAGATAATTTTTAAACTTAAAATTGGGTTTCTGTAGATGCTTTGTAACAAAAAGAAAAGATTTTTCAGGTGCGCAAAAACGACTGTTTTAAAATATTAAAAAAATCGACTTGGTTATTTATTGTTCCGTTTTGGTTTGATGATTTATTTGGACTACTAGAATGAATGAAAGATTGGAAAATTCTTCCTAATAGATCCAGACTATTTGGATTTCCGAATAGGTTCGGAATTATGCTTATTATACGTAGGCGATTTGATAAGTACTTAGCCTCACCTCCACTATCTCAAGAGCAATCTACTTAGAGTGTAATACATTCTCGTAGAGGACTTATGTCAAAATTTCAGCCGAATCGGAATCAGACTCGTAGTTTTGTTTTGACCGCGTGTGAAAGCCGGCGTGTCAAAGGATTTTAGAAATATGGAAACAGAGCCATATCGGTCAGTGATTCGATTCGTGTTTTAAGAAGGGAAATCAGACAACGAAATCAAAGAACGGCTGGATGCAGCATATGGTGACTCCTCTTCTTCAATTGCAACCATCAAAGATTGGTTCAAGTTGTAGCAGTCGGTTCAAAAGACTGCGTATTTTATATCCTGCATGCAATTTTGGGCATGAGAAATCTGTTGTCGTGATGTGTGCTGCGTTTGCTGACTCCGTACAGCAAGCGCAATCGTGAGACCACTTCAGAGCAGTGTTTGACGCTATTTAAGCGCAATCCCAAGAAGTTTCTACGTCGTTTCGTTACCGTCGAAACGACCACCTGGAGAAGGGCAAAACGGTCACAAGGCTCCACTAAGCCGATTTATTGGCCGATTAAACGCCGAATTGTACAAACGACAACCCTATTTCGCGAAAAAAAAGGTGCTTTTTCACCATGACAACGAACCATCTTATACCTATGCCGTCGCCTTGCAAAATTGATCGAATTGGGTTACAACTGTTGCCCATCCACCCTATTTTCCAGATTTAGCTCCGTGCGAGTTCTTTTTGTTTCCAAATTTGGAAAAGGACAGAAATTTAACTCTAATAAGGTGATCGCCGCCACGGAAGCCTCCTTTGAAGACCTCGAGATAACGTATATTTCAGACGGGTTAAAGAAGTTGGTGCATCGCTGGGTCAAGTGTATCCAGCTAAAAGGAGACTATGTTGAGAACTAAATCACCACATTTCCAAACTTTTCGTTTTTATTTTGCATGCTATGTATGCAACTGATCATTATAAACCATATGTCAGGTCATGCTGGCAACCAGCATTATAAACTGGTCGTACTGGAGCCAACTGCAACTAGAACCTGTACTAGCTTGTACAGGTCTAATGGTTGGATACCATATATTGTTGGAGCCACTTGGCACTTTTTAAAAAGACTGTTATGATAAGGATCTTGGTAAAAATTCTTTTGGAACAGGAAAGAAATTATCAACATCTCGTGGAAAGAATATATGTTGTTACGGAGAATAGAAGAGCGATTCGAATAAGCTAAACAATTATAGAAGACGAAGACGTAAAATCTCGTGGCTACGCAATCTCCATAAATAGTTTTGATGCAGTTCAGTTGAACTTTTCAGAGACGTAACCGACCAAATTATAATTGCAAGAATGATTTCCCATCTGCAATAAGAGCGGCACTTAAAGAAGAAGAAGAAATAATTATATCATTCCTTAGAAATTATACACAACTACCGAGATTGATTTATCAATGCTTACACAATAGATTACAGTAAAGTGGTATTTCCTATACTGTTGTATTGAATTGGGTTGTGAATCCTAACGAAAACTGGAAGATCATTTTCAGCCGATGTTTCTAATTAAGTGGTGCTTACAAGGATGAACCAGCAGGTAAAATTACCAAGGTTGTCTTATAATTCGTGTCTTAAAAATGGACCTACCTCAGAAACAAGCCTATCTTACAAAATCACATTTGCCAGATCTGTTCCCATTTTAAGAATTTGTTTATCTTAAGAACTCAGGATATCTGAACTTTATTTTACTCACTGCCATCGTTCAGTCTGTAAAGAATGCTGAACTAGTTACCAGCTACCTTTGACGTAAGAAAACAGTTTACAGCCACTTATGATGATGATGATTCATTCTCTTTTAGTTTGGGTTATTTAATACGTGTAGATTCTTTGTTTTTTACCTTGGCCAACTACCTCTGTCATATGTTTTTGTTTCAGTTAATAACATGCACTTTAAACGTTTTAAAATATATTTTTAATTGTTTCAGTACTGGGATTTCTTACACCCTCAAGAATGTATACGCCAATTTCAAACTATCAGCACGACTTTGGAAGAGTAGGATTTGAACGCTTAAGTAATGGACATATTCCTTAAAATTATTTCGATTTATAAATTATATTTCTTAATATTTTATATAAATTAAATATGTAAAGAATCAAATTGAATAAATAGAATATTCAGAAACGATGTGTAATTTGCCATTAATAAAATGTCTCTCGAATATGTGATAAGACAGTTGAATATAGGAACAGCTAATCTCCTTACAAATAAATCAATACAGATTGCAGCCTATGCCGATGACATCAAGATTATGACGAACTGGATTGAAGAAACAATCATATCCTCACTGAATAACTGGCATACCCACAAAACAATGATTAATAAGGAAAAGGTAAGATGGACCATATCGTCACCTCTTTTAAGGCACCAAACCCTGATGGCATACATCTAGATCTACTAAGGTACGGACTAGATATCCTTTGCCGCACCTTAAGGGAATGTTCCGACCCCTTTTGGCTTCGAGATATATTCCGAGGAAGTGGAGAGAGGTACCTGTTGTCTTCACACCAAAACCAGGTAGGATGAACTTACACCCTACCAAAGGTTTTCTGGTCAATTAACCTAACATCGTTGCTATTGAAAGCAATTTTAAGGCTATGCCAGAGGTACATAAGGGACGAATTTCTGGTTCCTAACCCATTTCACCCAAATTAGTATGCATAATTATACTTTGGGGAGATCTACCACACCACATTCCCAACCATCACCTAACAATTCACTGTCAGGAATGTCCCCCTGACCGTGAGCGAAAGCATATTCAGTATGTCTCTAGTAGAGCAATAAGCATAAATGTAAAAGACGTTTCTGTTAGAGGCATGGTTACGAGGGATGTCCACAGAGAGATATACTATCTCCACTCCTCTCGAACATAGTTCTACATACCTTGGCTGCCCAGCTGGTATTATTATTGACAGGAAGTTAACATGAATTTCTTACTTAAATGGTAGAGCTAAAAGAGCATATATTGCTTATAAGCAGTGTCAACGAATTGTCAGCAACACCTGTGGCTTTTCGCCCAGGATGATCGCCTGGATCTACATTACTGTCATTAGGTCAATTCTTACTTACGGAGCTATTGGGTAGCGTGGGTACCAAACGTGCTACAGGCAACAGCGATCAATAAACTAAAACATATTCAGAGGCTGGCTTGCTTAAATATAATGGGTGTCATGAAAACAACACCAACGGCTACAATGTAGTTGTTCATTAGCATCACCCCTTTAGATAGATACGTCAAAGAAAGAAATGTTGCTGGTGAGAATAATGCGACTATACTTAGCAGGTGCAAACCTTAAGAGCTGGATCCGCTACCCTGCTACAGGCAGGCTGCGACTTAATTGCACCTAAGTTTGATTTTGAAAAACCCTACACAATCGAAACAAGACAGTATATTAAGTCAAACGTGGCAAAAGCACATTGCTTATACACGGATGGCTCCAAAATGGAAGAAGGCTCAGGATGCGGCTAGATGACTGAACCTAAGAATAAAGTAGGTTATGGGCAAAAATGTCAATGCAGTTCAGACAGAACTGGCTGGTATCTCCATAACCACAAAAAAATAACCCAAAAAAGTATAGCCACGAAAACCATAATAATCTGCCCAGATAGCAGACAAGCGCTACTAACCTTGAATAAACCACGTGTCACATCAGGGCTAGTAATTGAGTGTCACACGTCACTAACTCAAGCTTCAGATGGTAATAATATTATCCTGAGGCGGGTTAAAACAATAGGAATAAAGGCAACATCATTGCTGACCTACTAGCTAGGAAGTCGACAGGACTAAGGTTGTTAGGACCTGGAAATCTTTTTGGTTGGTTAACTACAACAATCACGGAAATTGTCAAATCTCACTCCCACACGTAAAACGTGAAAAGATGCGAACAAGGGCAAGGATGTAGACTTGCCAAGGTATCACTAAGTAACCTTTAAAAGTCAGCATCAAAGAAGTACCTGGGAATGACCTGGAAAAACCTATGCCTAGCAGTTGGTTTTTTAATGGGCCATTGTCAACTAAGCAAACACCTCCACACACTGAAGATAGTTGACATACGTTTATACATGAAGTGTGAACGAGAAGACAAAATTGTAGAGCATGTCCTATGTGAATGTCAATATGAGAATGTCAATGTCATGATAGTTATCGTCAATACGAGAGTACGCGTTCGGCGATGCCTGGTCTACACCTGCCCACATATGGGAGATGTCCTCTTGTGGTTTGTCCACCTTTCTGAAAATGGATGGATGGACAATGAGCTAAGGACGACAACTCCTTAGGAGGATGCAAAATGGGTCAATTGTGGCCTAAGCGCTGTGACTTAAGTCGCATTCCCTGCTCTACAGATACAGAGATATGTCTCGAAGAACGGAAAAGGAGGGAGAAATATAGTCACAATTATAAACAGGAGCAAGAGAGACCGACTAGAAATAAATGTTCAAAAGACAAAATCGTAAAACACAGGCAAGAGCTAAAGAAAACATACGCACAATTGAATTAGAGGACGATATTCAAACAGAACAAGTTTTTGCTATACTTGGACTAGGCACGGACAGAATAGAAGAACCAGATATTCAAAAAAGAAGGGGAACAAAGTTTCTTTTTCACTCGAGCATGTGTTCCGCTCCAAAAAATCAAACACTGGATATTAAAAATCATGGTCTACAAAACTAGTACCAATAGTATGTTATTGTGCGAGATATGTTTAAAGAAAGAAAATATAAAAAGAAAGCTGGAAGTGTTTGGAAGAAAAATCGTAAATAGAATATTTGGCACATATATGATAATTAGAATATTTCTCTCTTCGAAAAAACATGAAATGGTATAGAAAGTTGGATGTGAAACTTATTGTTGCTGCTCCTGTTAATACTTTCGTATTTCATGAAGAAGTAACGAAATACCCAATGTCAATAACGAAGACCTCATAAAAAGTTAAAAGTCTGCTTTCATTAATAATTTTTGTTACAACTTTCTAGCTTTGACGACAAAACAACAAGAAACTGATCCACAAGACGTTTCAACTATTAGTCATTCTTAAAATAATATGGAGAGATGGCAGATTTGTTTAAATAACTACAAAGAAAATGTACTGATGGATTGAAACAGGGCCAAAGAAGGTGTATCCTTACTAATACACCAAAATCATATCAAAGAGTTTCAATACATATCAGAAAGAATAGTAACAGCAAAGATAAGAATGGAGAAGAAAGACCTGAACATCATCGTAGTATACGGCCCAGAAAATAACAAGCCTCAAACAAGGGAAGTATTTTAACCAACAATTACAACAAGTAGTAGATCAAGTCAGAGGAAAGATGATAATATTGGGAGATTTTAACGCTAGAATAAGCAATCAAGTAATACCCGGCATTAAACAAAAACATAACGAGAATGCTAAGAACGAAAATGGAGAATTGATGATCAACTTCTGCATGAATAACGAACTAGGAATAAACAACACATTTTTTGACCACAAAGACCAACACAAATATAGATTTAATAACACCCATGGACAAAGATCTATGATAGATTATGTTATAACCAACAGAGATATACATCTGTTTATATTACTCTGGTAGCCAAAGGGTATTTTTACGAGATAGTTCATAAGTTTCCACAAAGTAACCACACATTCCTATCATGTGATCGGGACTTTGACTGCATTGAAAAAGCCAAAAACTCCACAGCCACTACTAGATTTTTCAGGGCAGAGAAGAGTGGAATAAAGGGGTACCCATAAAAGCTGCTGCTACCTGGTACACGGATGGCTCAAAAACATCGGAGGGTGTTGGAGCCGGCATAGTAGGGACAAATCAAGCGATACATTTTCCGGTAAGTCTATCTAAGGATGTGACAGTTTTCCAGGCGGAAATAACTGCAATCCATCACTGTGTGGAAGAAATAGAAAGGCAGGAAAGAACGTTCTGTTCAGTTGCCATCTTCACAGATAGTCAGGCAGCGCTTAAGGCACTCAATTCTGTAGAGGTCAATTTTAAGCTAGTATGGGATTGCGTGTGTGCCCTAAATAAACTAGGAGACCGTAGCAAGGTTACGGTAGCCTGGGTACCGGGGCACGAGGGTCATAAGGGCAATGAAAAAGCAGATGAAATGGCCAAACAAGGCTCATCAATGCCATTCATTGGACCGGAACCCTTCTGCGGCATTGCAAAGTCAGTAACAAGAACGCCTACAAAGGAGTGGGTAGCTCACAAATCTCTGGAATGGTGGAGGAATTCACCAGGACAAAGACAGGCGAAACAGTTCATTAGAGAACATCCGCCAAAATTTACGGCAGACCTAATTAGCAAAGATAAGCATATGTCAAAGCCATAGTAGGTCTTCTAATAGGACACTGTAAGCTGAATAGGCACTTGAAGCTAATGGGATTATCAGATGATGACCTGTGCAGATTCTGTCACCTCGAAGAAGAAACGGCAGAGCACATTTTATGTCAGTGTGACAGTCTGGCAAATGTGCGGTTTTTTGCATTAGGAGAAGAAAATCCACCGGCAAACAGCTACATGGAAAGTACAGTCTCGAAGCTACTAGACTTTATAAAGAGGGTCAGGCTAGAGAATGTTGTCTAGGACTAGAGGGCCACAATAGATCTGAAAAGGTCGCAGTGGAATAGGCCGTAAGGCCACCTCTCTTAATCTAATCTAAATGGAAATTGCAAAAACTACCCTAGTAACCTTCACCCTGAGCATCTCCCAAGCTGTTATGCTGAAAATATCTAACGATAAATTAGAGAAAATTGAAGTTAAAGCGTTGTACTCGGAGGTCGCACCATGGCGCAAAGTGCATGTGTTTAAACCAAAGATTACACCACAATATTTTAAAAATTTTAACATTTAAGTGGTGGAACAGGCACCCCGTAAATGGAACGAAGAAAACATTAAAGCAATTAGAAGTATGATCCCTTTCATTTCACCCGCCAATCAAGAATTTTATCAAAAACTGGTGGCCTAACAATGTGCCTAGTCCATCGAGCAAAAAGACAATAGAGGGAATGTAAAGGTAGTGGGGGCAAACATATTGTTAGACAGGAAGTGCGATCTTTAGAGGCCACATTAAACAAGGAAAGAGAGTCTCTCTCCTTGTTTGACATCAAATTTAGTTGGGT